GGTATTTTCACGCAAATTCTTCTGCTAGTTGGGGTTTAGTCCAATTATGTATCCTTCCCTTCAAGGCTCAGGGGTCCAAGATTATCTTTTGTGTCTGTGTTAATTGGTTTCTCTTTTCTTTGTTGAAGAGGGTCTGTGCAATCCTTCTGCCTAGTCCGTCATCTTGCCGGAACCTCCTATTTAAAACATTCTTAACAATGATTTTACCTAACATGAAGTGGGAAGAAGAGATTTGAAGAAGAGATTTCCGTGTCTGTCCAGTCTTCTAGGTACAGAGCAGCACCTCGAACCATCCTTGGCACAGAGGAGGTACTCAGTTAATATTTGTTGGAAGAATGATTTACTTGTTTTACAGATGAGAAAACTGGAGATCGAGAGGTCAAAGTCCATAGTCATTCAGCATTATTCAGTACTCTGCTTATCTTTCTACAGGAATCTGGTCAGCAGCCCTGAATGGAGACCTTGGCCGGGTGAAGTATTTAATCCAGAAGGCAACAGACCCTAGTCAGCCTGATGCAGCTGGCTACACTGCTCTGGTGAGCTGGGGGAGGAACACAGGGCAGGAGAGAGAAGCTTCAGCTTGGGGAATACTTGCTATCTGAGGAGGAGGGTTTGTTTACCTCTTATCTTCTCCCTCCCTTTTTTCTCTCCCTGCAAAGGATCAGTTTTAAGTGTCATGTGAACCTGCATATTTGAATTAGTGAAAGTGCTTTACATCAATTATTTAATTTCATTTTCAGAACAATCCTATGAAGTAGAAATAATTATTAGCCACACTTCCCAGTTGAGGAAGTGGATGCTGGAAATTAAGAAACTTGCCCAGGTCACAGAGCTAATGGAAGTGGCACCAGGAGATGATTTGAAGTGTCTCATTCCAGAGCCTGTGCTCTCACCCAGTACCCCACTACCCTTGCCACCTGCCTGAGTTTTGCTCCCGACCTTAGTCTCTGTTCTCTGCAGCACTATGCCAGCCGCAATGGGCACTATGCTGTGTGCCAGTTCCTGCTGGAAAGTGGAGCTAAGTGTGATGCCCAAACCCATGGAGGAGCCACCGCTCTGCACCGGGCCAGCTACTGTGGACACACAGAAATTGCACGGCTTCTGCTTTCATATGGATCCAATCCTAGGTTGGCAGATGATGATGGCATGACCAGTCTACATAAGGTATGTCCTTTTTCCCCCTTCAAAATCTTGTCATTTCTATGGGCTAATACCAATATATACACAATACTGCATTACCACTAACACCAAACACCAGACTACAGATAAATACATAGACAGCTGAGAAGATCAGATTGGGGTCGCTGAACAGGAATATATTCTAGACCAATGAGAGATTCAGCTGAGGATAATTTTGCACAGGTACCAATACAAAATAACCACAATCATTACAGAAGCAACAGAAGACAGACATAGAGCAATCCATCACAGACAGACACCTTGGGAGAGAGAACCACAGAATCTGCCAACTCAGGACCATAGTATTGGGGGACATCAGGCTCAGTCGGCACAACATAATACATGAAAATCTTGTTCTACAGCCTACTTTGGTGAGTAGCGAATAGGCTGTTAAAAGCTTTCAAGCAGCCATCTAAGATGTAGCTGATGGTCTCCTTTCGTCAGAAACGAAGAAGAGTGAAGAAAACCAAGGCCATTTGAAAACAGTCAGCCCTAGGATATGATGGACCTCAAGACCAGAAGAACTAGATGGTGCCTGGCAGTCAGTGCCAGCCACTTGAGAAGGGATCAAAACTGGAGACCCTGGATAGAGTGGGAGGAAAAATGTGGGAGAAAATCCAAAAACACAATAAGGACCAGAATTACTGGCAAATGGAGTCTAGTGGGACCCCCAAGACTATGGCCCTGGGATACATATCAGGCCTGGGATAACACTCACTCCCAAGGACTGGCTCTCAGCCCAATAGTAATAAGACTTACATGCAGAACACCCAACCCAGGGTGATGCACCCACCTACTTTATGGAGATACATCCCTTGGAGCAGTTGGCCCTGGAGCACCAGAGGGGTAACATTCACACAGAGGAAAAGCTGGACAGACAGGAGTACATAATTAAAAAGTGCGTGGGTTGCCAGGGAGGTCACTGTGAAGGGAGAGGAGGAAGAGAGTAGGTTAGGGTTGGGAATGGAAATTGGGGAGTGAAACCAAATGTATACAAACTGTTGAATTCTCCTCTGTAAATTTGCACCCAAAGCACTATTAAAAAAAAGAAAAGAAAAACTATAATTTCTAATTATAAACATTATAATGTATATTAGAGAAAACAGAGAAGAAAAAAGTCATTTTAATTTCAGTGCTCACTTTTCACAGTTTTAGGATTAATGTGTAATTTCCTAACCTTTTTTCTGTGCATGTAAATTAAAATTAAAATGTACAGTGTCCTTTTATTTACATTTCACTTAATGATATGTTATTAATGCTTTTCCATGTCTTTAGTTTTCTAAGATTGTACCTTTTCTTGCCTATCCCTCTAGTCCATTTTTCATATGATAGCCAGAGTGATCCTTCAACTCAATTTGCAGTTTTTTCTGAATAGAAATACCTACACATGGTGAACAATTGAGGATTACAGAAAGGTATACCATGAACATGAGTTTCCCTTCCATCCTTGATCCCTACTCTTCAGGTCATCTCCCTCTAGGCAATCACTGTTACCAATTTTTTAAACATCTTTAAGAGGTGTTCTATGCATATATCTGATGTATATGCATAAATCTATTCCTTTCCTGTGCCTAACTTCTTTTTCTCCTAGACTGATGGTTTTAAAAAGCAGTTCTGATCATTCCATACCCTTACATAGAATCCTTCAGTGGCTTTCTTTTACCAAGTCCTTAGGATGATTTAGGGAGCTCTGGTGGTGTAGTGCCTAAGGCATTTGACTGCTAACCAGAAGGCTGGTGGTTCAAAGCCACCAGCCACTCCTCAGAAGGAAGGTTGGGCAATCTACTTCCCAACAGCAGTATTCACTGCTGTGGATAGTGATATCACCTCAGAAACCCAAGGAGAGGTACCTATGAGTTGGGTCTGACTTGACAGCAGTGTGTTGTGTTGCGTTGTGTTGTGTAGGATGATTTACAAGGCTTTCGATATTAGCTCCTGCCTACCTCTTCTGATTTATCCTGAGCACTTTTCCCTTGCCCCTTATACTCAGGCCTTGCTAGTCATTTTCAGTTCCTTGAACCTACTACTCTTGTTACCCTACACCAAAAAGCCAAACCCACTGGCATTGAGTCAATTCTGAGTCATAGTGACCATTTTAGGACAGGATAGAGCTGCCCTGTAGGGTTTCCAAGGCTATAAATCTTTATGGAAACAGACTGCCTCATCTTTCTCCTGCAGAGCAGCTGGTGGGTTCAAACCAACCTATTGGTTAGCAGCCAAATGCTTTAACCACTATACCACCAGAAAGAGTCCTTTCAGTCACCCTAACCAAGGAAAAAAAACAAACAAAACTCATTGCTTCAACTCACTCAAATTTCAGCTCACTGAGTTGAGTCAACTCCAACTCTTAGGGTTTCCAGGGCAGTATCTCTACAGAAATAGATTGCCCAGTCTTCCTTCTGAGGAGTGGCTGGTGGGTTTGAACTGCCAGCTTCTGGTTAGCAGTCAAATGCCTTAGGCACTATGCCACCAGAGCTCCTTCTGTCATCCTAGAGTCATATATAACAAGCTGTTTCCTCTGTCTGGATGCCTCTTACCTTCCATTTTCCATGTGGCTCATTTCTACCCTTCCTTATCAGCTTACACATCACACCCAAAGATCCTTCCCTGACCCCCAGATAGGGTTAACTCACCCAGTTGTATGCCTAAAACACCCTGTCCTTGACTTTTCTGCCTTGAAATTCCTTTTTCATTGTCTGTCTTTCTCACTAGAGATAGCTAGACTTTATCTTATTTACTAGTTACATGCTTAGCACTTAGCATAAGTGCTTGATGAAAATTCACAGAATGAACAATGATGTTATTTTTTTTAAGATTCTTGTCAGTTGGATTATTTCATAATGGTCTAAGCTGGTGTTGCTCAGATTCTGTACTGCCCCATCACATGAGGGAGGTTCAGACCGAGCACTGCTGTGGGTAGACGTGACTGGCGTTACCCACAGTTTGCAGCATTCTAGTTGTATCCATCCCTTTTTCTGTCACTCAGCAGTGCTTTCTAATGCAGACGTGTGAGGGATATGAGTTGTTCTTTCTTTTTTATTTTTTATTTAATCAACTGTTTGCAAATGTTGGTACTTTTTGGAATGCATCTCACAGCTGCTTAACACAAACCACTGCCTAAATTGAAGCAATAAAGTTAAGAACATCATCAGGAGACCCGCTGTGTAAAGATTTGCTAATGAAGACAGTTGTAACTTGGTGGTTTCTTCTAATACTCATTCTGATACCTCTCCAAAGCCTTTGTAGTCCATCAGTTTTGTTGGTTAGGAGGAATAGGGAATATAGCGGTAGAGCATAGTTAACAAGATTCACACTGAGGTCAGACGGACCTGGTTTAGAATCTCCAGCTGCCACACTAGCTCTGCAACCTTGGCGAATTATTGAACTTTTATAAACCTTAGTTTCTTCATCTATAAAATGGGATTAATGATTGTTGCCTCTGAGGGTTATTGTGACAGTTTTTTTGATTCCATGACCTGTGTCAGTCATTTAACTCTGTTATTTTTCAGAGAAGGTAGGTTAAAAACTGACATGCAGATTGGGATCATCTAAATTAAGGGAAAAGAGGAGAAACCCAGTGGGAGAGGCCATGTCTGATGCATCTGTGTCCATGGTGCCCAGCACCAGGCAGATGATCAGTCTCATTAATATTTAAAAAAAAAAAAACACTCAGAGATTTCTGCTTTTTCTATTAGCCAGAAGAAGTATTTTAAAGACAGTAGTTTGTATACCTTGCAAGGGTTACTATGCAGTTAAAACTCTCATTAATTGAATGTGAAACAAGTGTTTTAGAGAGCAATTTTATAACGTATATATATATATATATATTTTTTTTTTTTTATTTTTTTATTTTTTGTTATCATTAAGAACATACACAGCAAGACATCCACCAACGGTTTCTCCATGTACAATTCAGTGACAGTGATTGCATTCTTCAAGTTGTGCAACCGTTCTCAGCCTCCTTTTCTGAGTTATTCCTCCCCCTTCAACATAAACTCACTGTCCCCTAAGTTTCTTGTCTGATTTTTTGTGCTGCTGTTGTCAATTTGATCCCATATAGTGAGTTCTTAGAAGAGCACAGTGTTCAAGGCAGATATTCTTCACTAGTTAAGCTAAACAATTATTTGGTTTTAAGAGGACTTCAGGGGATATTTTTGGTTTGAAGTTTAAAGAGTGTCTCAGGGCAGTAGTTTTAGGGGTTCATCCAGCTTTCAAGGCTCCAGAAAGTCTAGATTCCATGAGAATATATTTTTTTTTATTCTGTAGGAATTTGTAATTCTGTTCTGGATGTTCTCCCTTTTGATCAGGATTCCTCTATAGCCTTTTTGGTCAAAACATTCACTAATAGTAATACTTGTGTTTAATGTGCAGGCCTGGCTAAGATAAGAATAGCCAGCCACTGAGCAAATGACACAAGAATGAAAAATTCAGGCTGACTGCCAGAATGGCACTGGAGTACTACACCAGTCTGTATACAAGTTGTTGGGATTTGGTAGGCATTTGGATGAGGTGAGGGTCAGGAGATATACACAAACAGCCAGTGTTTCCATTTCTACCAGACCTCTTCTTTAGGAGCAAGATATCCCCAGGAATGGAGTAAGAAGGAGCAGGGCCCAGTGCTGGTATGAGTTTTGATTCAGGCCTCTCTCTCCATAGGCTGCTGAAAAGGGTCACATGGACATTTGTTCCCTCTTGTTGCAACATAGCCCAGCCCTGAAGGCTGTTCGGGACCAGAAGGCACGGCTACCATATGACCTGCTGCCCTGTAACAGTGACCTGCGGGACCTGCTTGCCAGTTGAACTACCATCTCCTATTTCACACTGCCCTTCAAGAATACAAAGACTATGTCTCCAAGTCCTTACCTTGGTCAGCATATACACTGCAGGTGGGGAACCACATGAAGACCCAGGAAAAGCCCCATTTGTGGCCACTGTGGAAGCAAAGAAGTAGATTTGGTGGGGCTGCAAGTGATTAAGCCTGGACAGATGATCATATTTTAAATTAGTTCACATGACACTGTCTATCCATTTAGAAAAAAATAAAGTTATATCCTTACCTCATCTCACAAAAATAAATCTCTAGTAGGTTAAAGACCTGTTATTAAAAAGAAAAAAAAAAGCAGTTAGTATTAGAAGATAGGGAATATATAACAAATTAAAAGCAGCTTTCTAGCTGTGTGGCCTTCATAGAAGTCACTTTATTCCTCTCATCCTCACTTCCTCATCTATAAAATTGAGAATGATAATAGGGTTGCCTCAAACTCCTTGTGGGGATTAAGTAACTGAATGTAAGGAAAGTAGTTAAGAGAGTGTCTGGCATGTTGCAAGCAGTGTATAAAAACACCCAGTTTGCCAAATCTTCGTCCGTAATTGATTTTATGGCATAGTTTCATTAATTTTAAAAAGCAAATGGGTGGTAAAGTGTTATTTCTTTGTTTAGTTTGTAATTTTCTAATCACTGGTAAAAGGTTAAACACTTGTATCTGCTGTGAACTTCATCTCCATATCCTTTGCCCTTTTTTTCTTCCTGATTTAATTAATTTAATTTTTATTGTGATTTGGGTGAAAGTTTACAGAGCAAATTCATTTTCCATATACAGTAGTTCATACACATTTTATTTCATGACACTAACTGCAATTCCCCACAATGTAACAGCTCTCTTCCCACTTCTTCCCAGTAGTTACCTCTTCCCTGTGTCTTCCTCCCATACACTACCGCCTCCCCCACACCCGAGCTATCTCCTGTGCAAACACTGCCCTTCTGTTCTCCCACAGTTGCTCATTCCATGGAGGGTATCTACCTGATGTAAATGTTCACCCCATATGCCTTTCTATTGTTTGGCTGGAAGCCACAGGAGTGAGTTCAGTTCTAGACCTGAAGGGTAACTAGGGGCCATAGTCTCAGGGTCCACCAGGCTCTATCAGACCAGCAAATCTGATCTTTTTTTTTTGTTATTTTGAGTTTGTTTCACATTGTTCTCCCACTTCATTCAGGATCTTCTGCACTGATCCCCTTCCGAGTAGTTGACAGTGGTACGCGGGCACCATCCAGTTCTTTTGGTCTCATGGTCATATAGGTTGAGGACCACATGGCCTACCAATCCCTTAGACTAATTGTTTCCATGCACCTTTGGTTTTCTTCATTCTTCTTTGCTCTGGACAAGAAGAGATGCATCGTTGGATCTAGATGGCCGCTTGCAAGTTTTTAAGACCCCAGTCGCTACTCACCAAAGTAGGATGTAGAACTATGTTTCTATGTAGTATGCTACACCAATTGATTTTGATGTCCCCTGTGACCACCACCTCATGCCTGCAGGTCCAGCTACTTGCTTCTTCTGGGTAGGTGGCCGTGGCCAAAAAGCCACCACAGCCTTGTCCCTTGTTAGCTCTACTATACACCTGAACATACATATAGGCATGTAGAAACATTGTCTCCTAATCCTTCCTATACGTGGTCATGGGCACTCTCTCCCCTGCCTGGACATTCAGGATTGTTCAGCCTGTCCACCTATCTATCTACCTGTAGATCAATGTTTGCCATCACTGACAACGCAGTACTGTACTTGCAAAAAGAGTTCATCTTGGTTGTCTGTACCTCCTGTGTACCTCTCTATCTTACTCTTCCTCAGGGCCACCATGTTGATCACTCACTTTTGGTACACCACCCTTCCCTTCAGCCAAATCAATATTTGTTTCTACCTGTCTAGCAGTGTTTCCTCCCCTGCCTCCTCTCCCTTGTAACCAGAAAAGAAAGCTTCCTTCCGTATATAAACCTCTCCTTGACTTTTTACAGTAACGGACTAATACGATATTTGTCCTTCTGTGATTGACTTACTTTACTCAGCATAATGTCCTCCAAGTTCATCCACATTATTTGGTGTTTCACAGATTCTACATTATTCTTCAGTATTCCGTTGTGTGCATGTACCATAGTTTGGTTATCCATGCTTCTGTTGATGGGCACTTAAGTTGTTTATATCTCTTTGCTGTTCTGAATAGTGCTGCAATGAATAGAAGTATGCATATATCTGTTCTTGTCCTGGCTTTCACTTCTTTAGGATATATACCTAGTAATGGGATTATGGGATCAAATGGTATGTCTAATTCCAACTTTTTAAGGAATCGCCATACTGCTTTCCACAGTGGTTGTATCATTTTACAGTCCCACCAGCAGTATATGAAAGTCCTAATCTCTCCACATCCTCACCAGCATTTGTTATTTTCTGTGTTTTTGAACTTTGTCATTAGTACTGGGGCAAGATGGTAAGTCATTGTTGTTTTGATTTGCATCTCTTTAACAGCTAATGACCATGATAATTTCATGTGTTTGTTGGCCACCTGAATATCTTCTTTGGTGAAGTGTCTGTTCATGACTTCTGCCCATTTTTTAATTGGATTGTTCATCTTTTTGTTGTTGAGGTGTTGGAGTTTTCTATAAGTTTTATAGACAAGCCCCTTGTCAGATATGTCATTGCTGAATATTTTTTCCCAATCTGTAGGTTCTCTTTTTACTCTTTTGGAGAGATCTTTGGAAGCTCATACAAATTTAATTTTAGTAAGTCCCAATCATCTAGTTTATCTTCTGCTGTTTGTACATTTTGGGTGATGCTTGATAGTCTACTTATGCTATAAATCAGGGCCCCTAAATTTGCCCCTATTTTTTCCTTAAGGAACTTTGCAGTTTTAGGTTTCACATTTAAGTCTTTGATCCATCAGGTGTTAGTTTTTTGTGTATGGTGTGAGGTATGGATCTTGTTTCATTTTTCTGCAAATGGATAACCAGTTTTGCCAGCACCATTTGTTGAAGAGACTGTCTGTTCCCTATTTAATGGATTTTAGCCCTTTGTCAAAGATCAGTTGTCCCTAGGTCAATGGCTTTATTTCTGGGTTCTCAATTCTATTCCACTGGTCTATGTGTCTGTCATTGTACCAGTACCCAGCTGTTTTGACTACTGTGGCTGTACCGTAGGTTTTGAGATCTGGGAGTGTGAGACCCCCTACTTAGTTTTTCTTAACTAGTGCTTTGCTTATCCAAAGTCTCTTTCCATTCCATATAAAATTAGATTGTTTTTCCAGATCCTTAAAGAATGCTGATGGGATCTGGATTGGGATTGCATTAAATGTATAGATTGCTTTGGGTAGAATTGACATTTTTCAATACTTAATCTTCCTGTCCACAAGCGTGGTATGTTCTTGCATTTATGTAGATCTCTTATGGTTTCCTGAAGTAGTGTTTTGTAGTTTTCTTTGTGTAGGTCTTTTGTGTCCCTGGTAAGATTTATTCCCAGGTATTTTATTTTTTGGTAACCATTGCAAATGGTATTGATTTCCTTATTTCCTTTTCAGCAGTCTCTTTGCTTGTGTAGAAGAATCCAACTGATTTTTGTATGTTGATCTTGTATCCTGCCATTATGCTATATCTCTCATTTAGTTCCAGTAGTCTTCTTGCTAGGAGCTCTGGTAGCATAGTGCCTAAGGCACTTGACTGCTAACCAGAAGGCTGGCGGTTCAAACCCACCAGCCACTCCCCGGAAGGAAGGTTGGGCAATCTACTTCTGTAGTACTGCCTCGGAAACCCAAGGAGGGGTCGCTATGAGTCAGGTCCGACTCAACAGCACATAACAACAACAACAACAACAAGTCTTCTTCCCAAGTCTCTTGAGTTCTGTATGTATAGGATCATATCTTCAGCAAATAGGGACAGTTTTACCTCTTCCTTACAATTTGTATGCCTTTTGTCTTACTCCCCTGGCTAAGACTAATGTTGAATATTCAACCAATAAAATGTTGAATAGAAGTGGTAGTAGAGTGCATCCTTGTCTGGTTCCCATTCTCAAGGGGAATGGTTTCAATCTCTCTTCATTGAGAATAATGTTGGCTCTTGGTTTTGTATATATGTCATTTATTATGTTGAGGAATTTCCCTTCTATTTTTCTGAGTTTTTATCAGGTATGGGTGTTGGATTTTATCAAATGCCTTTTCTCATCGATTGACATGATCACATGGTTCTTTTCCTTTGTTTTATTTATGTGATGGATTAAGTTGATTGTTTTTCTAGTATTGAACTTCATCCTTGCATACCTGATAGGAACCCCACTTGGTTATAATGTATTATTTTTTTGATATGTTGTTGGAATCTGTTGGCTAGGATTTTGTTGAAGTTATTTGCATCTATATTCATGAGAGATATTGGTCTGTAGTTTTCCTTTTTAGTGATGTCTTTGTCTGGTTTTGGTATCAAGGTTATGTTCACTTCATAAAATGAATTTGGGAGGATTCCATCCTTTTCTGTGTTCTGGAATAATTTGAGTAGGGTTAGTGTCAGTTCTTCTCTGAACATTTGGTAGAATTCTCTAGTGAAACCATCTGGGCCAGGACTTTATTTTGTTGGTAATTTTTTTATGGCCTGTTCAATTTCTTTTATTGTTATGTGTCTGTTCATATTTTCCACCTCAGTTTGTGTTAGTTTAGGTATATAGTATGTTTGTAGAAATCTGTCCATTTCTTCTAAATGTTCACATTTGTTGGAGTACAGTTCTTCATAGTACCTGATACTGTTCTTTTTATTTCAGTTGGTTCTGTTGTGATATCACCCAATTTGTTTCTTATTCATGTTATTTATGTTCTATCCTTCTTTTCCTTTGTTAAGTTTGCCAGTGGTTTGTCTTTTATTAATCTTTTCAGAAAACCAACTTCTAGTCTTGTTGATTTTTTTTCTTTTGTCTTTCTATTTTCTGTTTCCTTTATTTCTGCTCAGATCTTTATTATTTCTTTTCTTCTGTGACTGTAGGCTTTTTTTG